GTGTGCCAGAGTTTAGGTCAATGTCAACATTGACGATAAGTTTTTAGTGCAGAAAAGGGACTGGGACTTCCCTGTTTTATTGATGTAAGCAGAATGTCAACAAAAATGGGTTCAAGATATGTGGGTAGGACTATAATAATAATGCTGCTGATATAGTCCTTTCCTGTTAGGAAGTGCAGTGACTGTGTATTTTGTAAGCAAACTCAGGATTATGTGCGCACAGCAATGTCCCACAAAGAGCCACGAAGTTAACGATCAGTTTCATTGCCAGCCAATATTTAGCAATTAGTAAATAATTTGTTGTATATTTGCCTACAAAAAATACAGTTACTGCAGTGAATCCAGTGAATCCAGTGAAGCGCTTTGAGATATCCAGTCAATGTGAAAGGTGCAGATTATTATGATCATTTTGCACAGGAGATGAGTTATCTCATCCAAATATAATTTTATTTCTAATAATATGAATTAGATAATTCACATCATTGGAGTACCCTTTGTTTAGACCACCTAAATGATGTTTGTGATTGACCTGCTTATAATATGTGTCTGGGATATAGCTGGATCAATCTTTATTGTATTTAGAGCTGATTTTCCACAAATAAACTGTATAATTCCACTCTCTGCACCCAACAACAAATGGGCGGGATTCAGCCATTCTGCCCCGGGACAGTAGGATCACAGGAGATCACAGAAGATAGGCTGAGGCTATGGAGACCTTTGAAAGTGAGGACCAGGAAACCAATACAGCACCTATCAGGTCAAAATATCACCAAGCATTTCACACAAATTAGCTACTTTTAAAGGGCAGTGACTGCTGCTGTACAATAAAATGCAGCAACGAATGTGTGCCTTCAGCGTCCCACTACATCAATGACACAGTTTAAAGCTTTGAAGAATTTGGATGAGGGAAGAATATTGACCAGCACATCATGAGGGCGCCCCACTCGTCTTCAAAATAGTGCTACTGAATCTTTAATGTTCGCCTGAACCGCTGAAAAGGGCAGATGGGGGCTCAATTAAATTCTCATCTGAAGCATGTCAGCTACAAAAGTGCAACACTTACTGAGTACTGGACAGGAGTCTACAGCCTACATTATGTGCTCAGGTTCTAGGGTGGGGCTTAAGCCAAAAGACCTTGCCCAGACGCGAGAGACTGCCACCGACTGATTTCTTCATAATAATGTTAATGCCTGTTTCAGCCTTCGAACCCTTCAGCTAAAATCATTGTAAATCAGTATGGCCAGACCAGGAGATTGGAATTTCTCTGAACTTGGTTATCGACTAAGCACTAACGAAATGTCCAGCAAATACAAAATTAGAAGGAATTCCTTTCTTCTGCTCTTAAAATTTGCTCTCAATTAGCTTTTACCGCGATTAAAGTGAGACAAAATATTCATCATCATTACTCCATCAGACCTTAAAAATATCCACAAAACTGATTTCAATAATGTTCACAGCACCATCTTGCTTTCTCTCAAACTGCAGCAAACCCCTTCAACTTTTTCGGTCACGCAATGAGAAAATAAAATGGAAGACCTTTTACTCGGTGAAAAAAATGAACAAACATTTACTCAGATTTTGAAGAAAGCAGAATTATAACACCATTGAGCCGCAAAGAAGTGCAAAACAACTGAACTCACAAACTTTCAAACCTCAGAACTGATTGAGCCAGGTGCCAGCAGGTTGTGGATTCAAACCCCATGTTGGGGCTTTGAATTCACAGTCTCGTTTGACACTCCATTGCAGTGCTGGGGATGCAGTGCATTGTTTGAGTTGGCGTCGTTTGGATAAGATGTTAAACGGAGGTCTCTTCCATCTGTTCAAGTGAACGTTATCGATCCCATGGCACTATTTGAAAAGAAGATTGATGGCCACACCACCGGGAGAAACTTGCTTCTCTTTTCATGTAGTTCTGTGAGATCTTTAAAGGCTACACAAACAGGTAGAAGGGAACTTGATTTAGTGTCTCATCTGAAGGACAGCACCTCTGACAATGCAGCACACCACACACTGCATTGGAGTGTGTCAGCCTGGACTATATGAGCTCAAATCCCAACAGGGGGTATGAACCCACAACCTTTTGATTACCAACTGAGACAGGCTGACACACTGCACATTAAACTATTTTATTGGTTTTCAGACAACATTGTTTCTGAATTGCAGAGTCCAGGGAAACAGCAGATGGCAGTAATGCACCATTTTTTGTCCTTACAGTAACAACTTTAAGCAACCAGTTTCATGAAGCCTTTATTCAGCTGAGTCCTACATTTCTGTCAAACCCATTTTACCCCACCAAGGTAAATGAGCACAATTCTTCTTCTTAGTAAGTGAAACAAGAAGGGTACTTATAGACATTGCAAAAGTAAAGTGTCTTTTTTTGGGAGGGGTGGGGCTGAAACATGTATGTGTGTGCATATTTTAAATCTTGTAATTATATCTATTTCAAAGTGTGTTTCACTTATTGTGACAAGGAAGAGTAACTTATTTGGATGCTGAAATGACAAAACATGGAGTAATTATAGTGCATACATCTTCAAACCGTTTCTTTGTATATCCATAAAAGGGATATACGTCAACTATCCTCAGTTGGTAGCATTCTTGCCTCTGAGTCAGAAAGTTTGGGATTTTCAATTCAGAAAGTCCATTGCTGGGGATTTGCTGCATTGTTGCAGATATTGTCCTTCAGATGAGACAATAAACCAAAGTCATATTTGCCTGTTCAGGTGGATGTAAAAGATCCCATAGCACTATTCAAAAGAAAAGGGAGCTTCTCCTGGTGTCCTGTCCATCAATCCTCCAAATAAAAAAATTAAACATTCACTTCATGGCTGTTTGTGGGGCATTGCACTGCATAAATTAGCGACTCAGTTTGCCTACAAAATACACCGTGACTTTACAGTAACTCCTGTGAAGCGTTTTGAGACGTCCTCCCAGCACAAAATCCACCATATCAAATGCAAGGATTAGTATAAGGATAATGTTCAAGTGTCAGGGAAATTAAGGATTGTGGTGGCAGTTCACCAATTTAACTACATCAGCAACTATGATTCATATTTATTTTGGTGTACGTAGAATTCAAAGACTGCCTTTTCCATTTGTAAAGATGCTTTTGCATGGAAGGAGTCTATTTTGCTCTACTTTTGTGACTACGCAATGTGGTTACTTGCAAATTTAAAGCTAACACAAAGGATGGCCTCTCTAGTGCCCTGACGCTGTAATGCGATATTTTTCTATCTTATGTTAATACGCTGTGGTGTGTACTAAACACACATCATACCTCTTTCAGTTCCTTTGCTTACTGTCACATTACTGTCAATGATTCAAATAATAGTGCAGAGTTGTTTTTTATCTGCTGCCGGTAACAAACTTGCAATACAGTATTCTGTTCTCAATCGTGTGATGACTCATCCCTTCATCTGCCGTGCCCATCAATAGCTTTATTGCTCTCTTTGCCTTTCAAACGCCTGTCTCAAAATGATAACTGAAACATGTATGGGCTTCAGAACCGTAGAAATTTACAACACAGAAGAAGACCATTCGGCCTGTCGTGTCTGTACTTTGAGAGGGCAATCCTTTTAGTCCATTTACCCAATCCTTCCTCCATACTCCTACAAATTACTCCTTTTTTTAGATATCTATTTCGTTCTCTCTTGAAAGTTACCTTGGATCCTGCCTTTGACCACCACCCTTGTCAGGTCAACTCTGTGTGAAGAATTCCTCCTCATCTCCCCTTTGCTCTCTTGATAACTGCAGGCTCATAAATTGATGCGCTTTAGTCACTGATTCGCCAAGCAATTCAATGACTTCCTTCTCATCAATTATCCTGTACTTTTTTTAAAAAACAAAATCTCCAAATGTGCAGCATTAAGTGACATTAAGGCAGTTGTTCAGTGACGACTTATATTTGATATCTCCCCCACCACCCCATCCAGAAGAAAAGAGTGGGGGGGGGGGGGTTGAATCTAAGAGCTGCTCATCTCGTAACACACTCACCGTATTTGGATGAGTTTCGTCATTTTAAACTAAAAGCAACTTTGCAACAATACTTATTACGGTGCTTCATGTAGTAGTGATCACTCTGCGCTCACACCTCCTGCCAGAGTGGGCTCAGAGAGTACACAGATTACTTGATTATAAATATTTTAAGAAGTGCCAAGCAACTGAACTGATCTGTCAGTTAATGCATGTTCCATCAAGCTCCTTTGGACTCTATCCAGATGTTCTCAGTCTTCTCTGATCGTTTCCCCCAACCCTCACTCCCCTCCCTTCCCCAAGGCATTTACTTTAGAACCCTAAGCAATTCTGCACACCTTTCTCCCAACCAAGGGAACCACGACGAGGAGTATGAAAGGAGAGAAACACCAAAGCTAAACGTCAAACAAAGAATTGGAAATAAAGAGAGCGAAGAGGAGAGGAAAGCAAGATCATAAAAAGAATAAGGAATCAATACAAAATCAGGGAGGCCTTGAGAAAGGACGTTAAGACAGATAGAGAGGGGGAGAGATGGAAAGGTAGAACAGGGAATTCCAGAGGTTAGGGGCCTAGAATCTGAAGGCTTGGCCACTGATGGTGGTGCAGAGAGCTGCAAAATTAGAGACGGGAGCAAATTGAAATGCAGTCTGATATTTCTTTGTAGAATTCTTTAATAAGGATCTAATCATGTGATTGTATAATCGTGTGATTTTGTGAATTCACTTCGACTCACTGGACCTGGGCTCTGGAAGTAGTTTGTGTCAGAGGGGATTTTCCACTGGTCCGTGTGACGTGTATCTGGTTACAGGTTGAGTTTCCATTTGTCTGACTGGGTTTCTTTATTTAGCAATCCCATTGCAGAGCATAACATAGCAGTGTCAGGCTGGACCCTATAACGTGGAGCTTGAACCCACAACTTTCTGACTCAGAGCTGAAAGTGCTACCACCTGCGCTAGGCTGCTATTGCTAAACTGAGAGTCGTCACACTAACTGTGATTTCCAGTTTGCCACCTCGGCTGACAATTTGCTTTCAAGTTGTTTCTCAACCGAGAAAGAACAGGTCTCAAAAGTTCATCAGATGGTCAGCAAGGAACGTGTTGAACACAAACCTGCCATTGCTGGTCATCAAGGTCGGGATATAATTTGCAAACCAAGCAATTCAGCCACAGAGCAGCAAGTCACAGTTGGCACAGCAAGTTCCAGTTTTGCACCTCAATCTACGTACTATAAAGTAAGTCATATTTAGACTGATGATTCCCAGACATTCGAACGACAAGAGTTACAGTATTCAGAGGGTTGCGTTTTCACTGCAATGCGCAACAGGAAGCAAAAACAACCAGTTTCAATTTGGACTGAAATGAAACAACTAGCTGAGGGAAAGGAAATGAAACTAAATGTTGAAGTGCAGTATTTGGGATAGCTGGGTTTGTGCTAGTCTTAGCAAAGGCAACATGAAACAGGTGTGTTTTTTTTACTTTCTTTCCTAGTATGGATGTTTTATTGCATTCTTATTCACCACCCCCCGCCCCACCCCCCCACCCCCATGTTTAAGCTTTGGTTTGTTGGGTTGTTATGGGTTGTTTTTATAATTATAATAACAATAATAATAATAATCCATGCATTTGATATAGTGTCTCATCACATCATTCAGACATCTTAAGGCGCTTCACAGAATATATTGCAAAGTGATTTGACTTATTTTTACAGACTGGTTTAAATTGTAATAACATATTAATACTAATACTTGAATTTGATATAGCTCCTTTCATGTCATGCAATTTGTTGTTGTTGTTAAATGCTCCGAGATGCTCCCCACAGGAAGGGCAAAACTTAAATACATCTTATTGTTGTTGTTGTAATTAATGACTAAAACAGGTTGCCAGGAAGGGTAGTTGAGACCAGGACACAAGGACCCATTTTCAAAAAGGCTTGATGCTGGGTTGGGTTCTCTCGAGGGATAAAATCAGATGGACCAAGGGTCTTCTTTAACCAAACCAATCTTGTGATCTTGCCCTATGATTACTTAGCCAATGGCATAATGAGGTGAGTCTTGTTTTGAACCTTAAGTTCCGACCACATAGATGGCAAGGTCAGAGAGAGAAAAGGAGAGCTTCCTGTGGGGTAACATCTCGGAGCACTTCACAACAACAACAAATTGCATGACATGAAATGTTGGGAGCCCACAAACTGCAATTGATGTGGTATTTCAGCAGCTCAATGCAGCTCAGAAACGCTTGTTGTGCCTGGTGAGGGAAATCTCCAAATCAATTAAGAGTCTTGCGCAAGTATAAAGTTTCTTCCAACTCTCGCTTCACTAAATCAGGCTCTTAATTTTAAAAGCTCGTCACCATGACTTGCAATCCCCAAACCTCCCAGAGCCTCTAACTTATTCACTTGTCTCACTTGTTTTAAAAAGTGAATTATATCTATCTGGCTCCTCGATTTGCTCTGGAGTTCTACTTTCTTTCGCTTTCGTCAGCCTCGTCAGCCTGCCTGGTAGCTCTAAGTCCAGGGTTTGCTTTCTAATGTATCAGTGTCCCTTTGGAGTTACAGTGACCCAAATTAAATGCAATTTTCTAAGTGTAGTCTCGCTAATTAATTAAAATCGAGTTCCTGATGCATTCTCCTGCACGGACTTCATGCTTTGCACACCCGAAGGATATGCTTGTGGCTTGCTCGTCACCTCACGAGGCACGGACACTTCAACACATCCCACGCAAATCCTTCAGTCCCTTTTATTTCTTAACCACTTATTTAATCCTTGGGTTCCACCCTTCTCACCCTCCCCCTCCTCCCGCCTTTTGCACCTTGATGTATTTCCTGGTTGATCTGGCACTCATTAGCACAACTGCTGACCCTCTCTACATACCTATGAATCATATCAGCCTCCACTAAGAATGTAGTTTGGGAAAATTATCAGTCCAAGGACGTATCCCTGGGAAGCTCTACTAGGTGCTTTCCCCAGCTCAAACAATACCCATTCACTGATATTCTGTGTATCCGTGACAGACTTGACTAGCAATGCACGTGGTATAAACAGATGCTGAACAAAAAGGTGCAGTTTTGCTCCTTTACTTACATACCATTGCAAGAAAGAACTTGCCTTTTTGTAGAACCTTGTCAAGCTGAAATGCCTCTAAGTGCTTGGCACGTAATTGTTGTTAAGTGCAGTGTCTATTGAATCATCAATCCATCTGGAGAGTTTTTGTTCAGGACATTGGGAGAAACTCCCTTCTCTTCTCGAATAGTGACATGCCCACCTAAATAGGCAGATGGGGCCTTAGGTTAACGTCTCTTCCATAGGCCAGCACCCCCACCAACCCAGCACACCACCAGCACTGCATTGGAGAATCAGACTGGACTATTAGTTCAATGTCCCAACGTGGGGGTTTAAACCACAATTTTTTGACTCAGAGAGAAGAATGCTACCAACTGAGCCAGGCAGATGACAATGTCTAACACAATGTACCTTGTTGCCAACACCTGTTAGCACAAATAACACAAGATTGGTTTCAAAGAAGAAGGCCCTTCAGCCCAGTGGATCTCATCTTTCCAGAACACCCACACTTCCATCTTCCCATTACAGCATCAAGCTCTTTCGCAACTGTGTCCTGGCATCCTGGCTTCAACCACCCTTCCTAGCAACATGTGTTTTTTTTATCCTCTGGGTAAAACAACTTTCTGGTGGTCTGGTAACATACAATTCTCTCAGGGTCCTCAACAGAACTAGAAATGACAGCCTGACATTTTCCACATTGGTTACCTCGTTCATCAATGCCACGGATTGTATTCAGGTTAACATATGGGCTCCTACCATTATTCCTCCAGCCCTTGGTAGCAGAAAAGGGTTTTACTTCCTGAAATGCCCAGATGGCGGGCGACCATATAACAAAATGTATTTATGCCAAATATGCAAGAAAATGATATATAAATTATTCAACCTGTCCAGGTCTCCTCAGTGCCAAGGGAGAATTTTCCCCTCTTTCTGCCTCCCTCCTTTCTTCCTATCAACCCTCTCTTGTCTATGGAAGGTTGCGGCAGAGATTTTCAGCCTTTATCATGGAGTTCTGTAGATTAGTAATTAGAGCACTTGCCTCGCAAGAGAGAGGACTGGGTTTGATAGGGCAAAACATTTCCTTACTCCACACTCCTCTGTTTTACTAGCAGTAAATAGGAACCCGGTTGTTAGTTGATTGATGGATTGCTTTTCCAGGGGTAATAAACCCACACAAAAAAAATTGGTCACTTAAACCATAATTGTTTGTGGGACACTGCTGTGTGCATTTGGCTCCCATGTTTCGCCCGCAAAATATACAATCAATTCACTTTACAGTATATTCTGTGAAGTACTTTGAGACATCTCAAATATGTGATAAGGCGCTATATCAAATGAAAGGATTATTATTATTGTAACAGGGACTGGCTCGCTCAGTTTTTTCCTAAAATGTGACGGACCCTAAGTAAACAAGGCTGTCGGGTCATACAATCTAAAGATAAAATCTGTCAGGTAAAATACCAAGGAATTTTATCTGACATTCTAAATAAGAGTGGAAATCTGAAGTGTTGTAGTGAGTGATCTGAGGTATGTCAGAGACAGTTTCAGTGAGCGACGTGGATAACATCACAAGCCTGGGCTTCTAATATGTACTGTCTACCAGCTTAGTGCATCGGACCCACCGTTGAGAAACACTGGGCTGCAATAATAACCCTTACATTTGATATAACGCCTTTCATACCAGGAGCTGGGGGTCATCTCAAAGCACTTCTCGGGATATACAGTGCATTTTGTAGGGAAATCTAGGAATGTCCCATGGTAAGACTGCATCTCCAGTCTTAACTGACTTAAGACTGCTCAAGTGCATCTTAGGCTCCTCAGAGACAACCGAGAGAGGGATGTCACCCTATTTGTCTGAGCTAAAATCACTCCCAGATCCCAGATATGAAACGTTAAGGTTCTACCTCACTGCTATCCTAGTCTCACATTGCCTTCCTTAAATGCAGCTTGCAACATGCTTGAGATGTGTGGTATCTGAGCCACAACGTTTATTTTGCTCTAAACCCCATTTGTTCATCCACATTTTGCATAATAAGTATCTTTAATTCATATATTCCTCCATTTAGCATAAAAATATGCTCAGTTTCACAAATCGAGATTTGTTATTGAGTTACAGGCAAACTTTATTGTCCAACTAGCCTACTTTGCATATACAAATTAGGACAAATTAACACAGTTTTGCTGACATAGATTCCCTTTTAGCATAATTGATATCCTTTCCAGGTTCCATACCGATAGGAAGTGATATTTCAGAAACATGAGAGTCTATTTACTGCGATCGAATTACCATATGAAAATAAATTAGCATAATGCGTTCAGTGTTCCCCATGTTTAGAATCAGTTCTACAAAGTCCAGGTTTCCTGAGGACTCTTTGAGTTTTGAGTAATTGGCGAACATTATTTTTGAATTATTAATAAAATTGTGGAAAGCATTTGCAAATTAATTTTCCCTGTTGCTGCACTGCGACTGACAGTGCGAAGACAGAACCCAATTGAAAGTCTTTGATTTGTGCTCCTTCAACTTCATTCATCAGTCCATCCAATTCATACTGCTATGCTGTTGCATGTGGCTGCCTCTTTTTTTATTAAAGTATCCTAGTTGCAAACACAACAAGAGGGAAAACAGAAATCTTCCACATGATTTATAATCCTTGCATTTTATAACAGCCTCTTATCACATTCAAAGCGCTTACAGGTTTTTACTGTGACTTGTAGTTACTTGTATTTGTAGGTGACACAGCAACCAACTTTTACAGACAGCGATGTCCCACAATCAGCCACGAAATGAGTGACCAATTTTCTCTGGGACATCATTGGCCAGGACAAAGGGAGAAACTCCATTCTCTTTTTGAATAGTGATATCCTTAATCTTTGATGTCTTGTGGAGTCCTGTAGCTTAGTGGTTAGAGCACTCGCCTCGCAAACGAGAGGACCTGGGTTTGATTCCCAGATGGGGCGGAACATAAGTCAAATTTCTTTACTCCACACGCCTCCGTTCACCTAACAGTAATTAGGAACCTGATTGTTAGTCAATTGGCGGATCGCTTTTCTGAGAGTAATATTCCCTTCAAATTTTTTTTAAAAAATTATAATAATTTGATCACTCAATCCACGACTTTTGTGGCACACTACTCTGCACAATTGTTTGTGGGTCATCAGGAGCGGGCCTTGGCGCC